AGCCTAAACCTGTAGTCTGAGATCTATGAGGAAGTTGTCAGTGAGTTCCCTGAAGCCTCTTCAGATGTCGTCTTTCTAAACAGCAATGACCAACACAGAAATCTTCCACTAAGCATTTGCTTTCCTCTACAGTGAAGGAAGAGAAATAACTACAAGTAGAGATTCATATATTTCTTGTCTGACGATTGCAGACAGGAAGCTTAAAGGAGACCCCTGAAATCAGGATGCATCCTGAGATTCATTCTGCCAGGAGGTAAGTCCTTCTACTAACTGAGAGCTCCTGAATGATTCAGAGGAAGAGCTCAGCTTGCCTTGCATTGTCTGGGAACTGAAGGAATGCCGGTACGTCACGGGAAAGCCTGTTCCGGTGCTCGCTGTGCTCCAAACTTGACTCCTTCTGCTAATATCAGCCATCGCCTCTTATTCCTCCACAGAGCTCTRGTTTGTAGGACTGCCATCATGTTCTGCCCTCTCATACTATAAATGTAATTCCCCTTTCACCTCGTCCTTTCTCCTAGATGCAACACAGCAGAAGATATGGTGTGGCAGAATCACACTAGGGTGAGCGATTTCTTCCTCTCGGGCCTCACCACCAACCACGCTGTAGAGCTGGCCCTCTTCACCTTCTTCATGATGATCTACGTGCTGATTATTTTGGGCAATGGCCTCATCATCTTCATGATTACGAATGACCAGCGCCTGCACACTCCCATGTACTTCTTCCTCAGCAACCTCTCTGTAATGGACATCCGCCACTCCTCGGTGGTGATTCCCAAGATGCTCGCTGACTTCCTGGCAGAGCAGAAGAGCATCTCCTTCGAGGAGTGTGTGGCACAGATGTTCTTCCTCCACCTCTTTGCCTGCACAGAGATTTTCCTCCTCACCATCATGGCCTATGATCGCTACCTGGCCATCTGCAACCCCACGCGTTACGGCACCATCATGAGCCACAAGATGTGCCTGCAGCTGGCCACAGTCATGTGGYTGGGAGGGCTCATCCATTCRCTAGCCCTCACYGTCCTGACTCTCAATCTCCCTTACTGTGGTCCCAGTGCCATCGACAACTTCTTTTGTGATGTCCCCTTGGTCATTAAGTTGGCCTGCACAAACACGCGTGTCTTAGAAATGCTCATCATCTCCAACTCAGGCCTCATCTCTGTGGTSTGCTTCCTGGTGCTGGTGACTTCTTACGTGGCCATCTTGGTCTCGCTGAGGAACCACCTCTCGGAAGGGCAGCACAAGGCCATATCTACCTGTGCTGCTCACCTGACAGTTGTGACACTCTTCCTAGGACACTGCATTTTCATCTATGTCAGGCCAGGCAAGAGCTTGGCCGCAGACAAAGTTGTGTCCATCTTCTTCACTGCCATCACCCCTCTGATGAACCCCGTTATCTATACCTTAAGGAATGAGGATATGCAAAATGCTCTGAGAAAGCTCTTCAGGCGGCAGATTGGTTGCCAAGGCAAGTGATGCCAGGGAGGTGACTGTGAAGCTGCCAATCCTTGGGTATTGCCTGTCCCTAGAGAAATAGTAATTACCAGAAATTACTAATAGAAATAGTCATAGAATCAAAGAATCATAGAATGCTTAAGGTTGGAAGGGACTTCAGAGGTCATCAAGTCCAATCCCCCTGCTCACACAGGGTCACCTAGAGCACATGGCACAGGGCTGCATCCAAGCAGGTTTTAAAGATCTCCAAAGAAGGAGACTCCACAACCTCCCTGGGCAGCCTGTGCCAGCGCTCTGTCACCTTCCCTGTCAAAAAGTGTTTTCTCAGGTTCCTGTGGAACTTTTGGTGCCTCAGCTTGTGGCCATTTCCTCTAGTCCTATCGCTGGCCACACTCAAAAGAGGCCACCCCCTCCTCCTCACTGCCTCCCTTGAGGTATTTATAGACACTGATGAGGTCCCCCCTCAGCCTTCTCTTCTCCAGGCTGAACAGGCMCAGCTCCCTCAGCCTTTGCTCATAGGGCAGATGTTCCAGGCCCCTGATCATCCTCGTAGCCCTGCGCTGGACTCTCTCCAGCAGCTCCACATCCCTTTTGTCCTGGGGAGCCCAGAACTGGACACAGTACTNGAGGATATGCAAAATGCTCTGAGAAAACTCTGCAGGCGGCAGATTGGTTGCCAAGGCAAGTGATGCCAGTGASACTGCTGGAGGTGACTGCGAGGTTGCCAGTCCTTGGGTATTGCCTGTCCCTAGAGAAAAAGTAATTACTAGAAATCACTAATAGAAATAATGATTACTAGTAGAAATAATGATAGATTTATTGATACAGGCAGTGGTTTCACGAGATTCCACAGCAACTTCACTTATTATTTACTGCGTGGGGTACAAGATAATGCACWGAATTCTCAAGGAGACCCTCCCAACTCAGGAGCCAGCTGAGCAGACCCCACACCTCAAAGAGCTCATAGTCTACCTGTGCTTGGTAGGGATCAGTCCCTGCCCTGCCACCATTTAAGTCACACTCTTCCTCTGCCTCTACCGGATGAATTACAACTAGAATAGTTAGTTCCTCTAAATTCTGCTGTAAATATTTCACTGTGGGTTTTTTTTCCCCTTCTTCATGAACACGCAACGCACACACAAATTAATAATGATGGGGATGAGTGTCATCTGTGTTTTCCGTTAGGAGGGCCCATATAATGATGTTACTGCCAGCAGCAGGAGGGCAGGCACAAAGCCTGTGCATGCCACAGGTGGCTGCATCCCCACCATGGCCAGTAGAGACAAACCTGGCCCTTCAGAGCCACCATGAGCCAAGGGAGAGAAGTGACGCGGGAAGTCGATATGAGGACAGCTCATGTCCGAGGGCCCGAAGCAGGCAGTGAAGCAGGCAAGCTGCAGGCCCCGGAGGGCAGGAGGCGATCAGAGGTCTGTGGGGGTGATGCTCTTTCTGGGAAGGAGTGTGCACTCTGTGCCTACCCCATCTTCCCCTCCTCTGTCCTTTGGTCCCTGACAGGGGACACTGGGGTGGGACGGGAAGAGACTCTCTCCTTCACCCTCCAAGGAGTGACCCTACACTCCAACCACCCCACATCAGGGAAGATGGGGAAGGACAGAGCTCCAACCAGCTTCCCCACCATTGCCCAGTAATAGGGAGCAGAGATGACCCCCAGGATGCCAAGGCCTGTAAGATCAGTGGGCTTCTCCACAGCTTCCCAGTGTGGGCAGCTGACAGGTCCTCCACAGTGTCCTGGTGGGCACAGGCAGCACCGGGAGCTGCTCTGGGGTAGGTCTGGCCTGGAGGTCTGGGCAGGGAAGGGTTCTGAGGTGCCGTGACCAGCATCCCCAGAGAGGAGGTCCATTCCCTCCCAGGCCAGAGCCGGTGAAGAGCTCAGCACATGGACTGCACTGCAGAGCGCTGTGCTCAGCGCATGAGCCCTGGCCCTCGTCCCACCAGCCCGCAGCACATTCCGTGTCAGAGGGGAGATAGTCTGTGCCAAGGTAGGGCCCTGCTCCGGCAYCTCAGGCACCATCCTCTAGGAAGGGGGACACAATAAACGTTCCTTGGAGTGGCCCGTGCCTGACATACGAAAGCCCATTGGAGGGTGATGTAGAGCAGGTCATGGGGGGATGCCCCCGCAGTGTTCCTTTGCCTTCCTCAGAGCACAGTACTCAATTGCCAATGGACAATTTTGATTGGCTCCACCATCACCACACTGAATGGGTTAAGTTCTCATCTGAGTGGGGTAAGCAAAGCACTGGAACAGAGGAGGGTCCTTGCGCTTAAGGCACTTCTCCACATTTAACCACACTTAAGGCACTTAACCACATTAAAGGTTAATTCCTTCTGATTTCTGCAGTTTAAAGACTTCACATTTGTGAGGCAGAGAAGAGGAGTAGATTTGCCCAAGAATGTCTCTTCATCCCTCCCTTGCTTCAGATGAAGGAGGGGCCAGTTCACTGCTGGAAATCTGCCAAAGGAGTTAGAGCAGGGTGCTGCTAGGTGGAAGAAGGAGAGAGAAGGTAATGATGCTGCAGGTGGATCAGGAAAATTTGCCTTTGCAATCTTTTCTGGCACCATCTGTGAAGGTCTTTTTGATGCYGTTGCAGTTCTTGTCTCTGTATTTCTGTTTCCGCCCTATAAAAAGGCCCTAGGTCAAAGCTCTTGAAAACAATTTCAGTGGCATCACATAGAATGCAAGAACACACGGCCTTATCCATAGTTCTGTGAGGAAGACCACATTTGACCCCCAATGAATCTGTGGTGTGCAGCCTGGACCCTCTCCTCTTGGAGAGACAAGAGGAGGGGAGCAAGGAGAGTGCTCCGATGCTGATGAGGAGATGCTCTGTGTTGATTCAGCAGAACTTGAGCAATTGGAGGCACGACTGTGAGGACAGCGAAGACTCCCACATGGAGGCCAAGAGAGAGGAGCTGCTTTGGGGAGGTAAGGGAGCTAGAGGTAAAGGTGCTGCAGGTGGCATGGAGCTTGGGAGGGCCCCTGGAAGAGGGACCAGCAGGGAGGCTCCTAGGCCAAGCCTAAGCATTCAGCAGAACCTAGGATTTGGCCGTGCCCCCTTCATCTCTTCTATTTCCAAGGACCATAGCCACCGTTCTGTGCTCAAGACTCCCTCCCTACAACCTCTCCCAAAATTGTGAGTTGTGTCTGAAGCTAACCCCTAATGTTCATCGCGTGTCTTGAGGTGCTGGACTCTGATAGGCCCTCCATCACACTCTACACACATTTCCTAGGGCACAGTTATAGGCCCTAACTACTGCCTGAAACAAAATGCAAATGCAAGAATAAGCTGCTACCTCAAACTATTCCCTGATGCCACTTAGCAGGAGCTATTCATCCATGCCAGAAGTCTCAGGACAAAGGGGCTCCTTTAGAGCACCTGAGCATGCAGGTGTCTTGTAGGCATTTCTGGAAGGGCTTTAAGATGTGGGAGGTAGATGATAAGCAAGGCACATGGTATGTTTCAGGAAAGATGTGTGTGGTGGAGAGGAAAACCAAGGCAGGGGCAAATAGCAGAGAGAGTGTTAGCACCGCACTGTAGGTGGGGAGGTCACTTGTGATGCAGGAATGGGTTAGATGGGGAGCATCAGGCAGACTTTGTGGTGTGCTCAGGAGACTGGTGAGGAGCAGCGTGGGATTGCCAAGAGCTGGTTAGGAAGGAGAATGCTCTGATGTTGATGACCAGGTGCTGTGTATTGCTTCAGCAGAGCTTCAGGAGCTTGAGTTCAGGATTCTGAGGATAGCGAGGGCTCCTAGAAGGAGGCCAAGAGAGAGGAGATGTTTTGGGGAGGTTAGGGACGCAACGGTGCTGTAGGTGGCATGGAGCCTGGGAAAGTCCTTGGAGGAGAGTTCAGCAGGGAGGCCCCTATGCCAAGGCTAAGCACTCAGCAGAACCCATGATTTTGGCCTTGCCTCCTTCCTCTCCTCTCTTTCCAAGGATCATAGCCATGGCGCTGTGCTCAGGGCTCCATCCCTACCCTCTCTCTCAAACATTTCTTCTGCAGGTAAAGTTAAGCCCTAGTGTTCTCTGCATAACTTGAGGTCCTATGGATTCTGGTAGGCCATCTCTCTCACTCCAAACATATGCTCCATGGTCCAAGCCAAGGCCTGAACTAAAACTCGAGTCCAAAAAGCAAAGAAAAGCCTGAGGTCACACCTCCACATTTTCTCTGATGCCACTTAGCCCAAATTATACCCRCATGCAGAACGGGACACCTTAGAAATCAGTGCTTTGTAGGTAGAGCTGGAAGACCTTTGGTCTGTAGGTGACAGGAGAAGTGCAAGGTGTGTGGAGGGTTGCGGTGAAGATGTGTGTGGTGGAGAGGAGAGTCAGGCCAGGGGCAACAAGARGAGAGTGTTTTAGCACTGCGCTGTAGGTGGTGAGGTCACTTGTGATGCGGGCCTAGGTGGGATGAGGAGCATGATGCAGGCTTTGTGATGCGCTCGGGGGAGTGTTGAGGAGCAGCAGAGTGGGAGAGGCAAGAGGCGGGTGGTAAGGAGAGTGCTCTCATGCTGATGAGAAGGTGCTTTGGCTTCAGCGGAGCTTCAAGTGGTGGAGGCAGGATTGTGAGGACTGCGAATACTCCGAGAAGGAGGCCAAGAGAGAGGAGATGTTTTGGGGAGGTAAGGGAGCTAGAGGGAATAGTGCTGCAGGAGGCATGAAGCCTTGGAAAACCCCTTGCAATGGAGGCCAACAGGGAGGCCCCTACGCTAAGACAAAACACTTAGCAGAACCCCTGATTTTGGCCTTGCCTCCTTCCTCTCCTCTCTTTACATATGTAATAACCACAGTGCTGTGCTCAAGGCTTCCTCTCTACCCCCTCTCCCAAACTCTCAGGTTCTGTCTGAAGCCAATCCCTAGTGTTCATTGCGTGCCTTGGGGTGCTGGACTCTGCTAGGCCTTCCATTAAACTCCAAACACCTGCTCGAGGGCCCAATTCAAAGCCCTAACTAAACCCTGAGCACAAAACGCAAAGACTGAGCTGCCAAATACAAATTTTCCCTG